TCTCTTTTTTTTTTTTTTTTTTTTTTTTTTGAATCGGTATTTTGGTTGTTGTTGTTGTGTAATAAGGGGAAGAGGGGATGTCATGGTCATGTTGTGATGGTGGTGGCGGGAGGGAATATTCATGGTTTGATACGAATCTTTTTTTATCAGTTATTAATGGCATCGGGAGTGTGCCAACGCCACGTCACCAGATTCTGGATTTACGAAATGACATAAATGCCCCTGATAGAACTTGAAAACTACGCAAAAGCCCCAAAACTCCTCAAATCGTGATTCTTCCAGATCGTGAATATCATCTCTCTCGGTCTCTCGATTTCTCGCTTGGTTCTGTTAATCGATCTCTTCCCCGCCGTTTCTTTCGTACTCGCAGGTATGAATTCCTGAATATTTTTTCTAGAATTTCGGTGAAATTCTTTGTTGAATTCGGAGTTCGTAACTGCGTGTGTGTGTGTGTGTTTTTTCTGTTGCAAAATCGAAAATTTGTTCTTGGGGATGTGATTCCGATGCGGGTTTCTACCTATAACGAGGAAATTCTCTCGTCAGTCTCATCTTATTGACATGTCTGAGGCTCTGAGTGTTGATTCGCCATGTCGATCGTGTGCCCTAGTTTCGAACTTCGCTTCTCTAGTTGATGTTCTTGTTTTTTTCCTCAATTATTCATCATCGATCGAATTCTTGTATAACTGATTTGAGTTTCATTTATATTCATAAACTGCTGCAAGTGAATACACTCTTGTAGGGCACTAGCTTAGTTGAAGTTGATCTAATTGCTGTAGTAATTATGGATTGTGTTTTGGTTTTTGCAATTGTATGTTGTGTCTCTTATTACCGATTTCAACTCTGTTATGAAGAAGTTCATGTCTCCTTCTGGTCTGAATTTAGATTGTTACAAAGGAAGAGTGTATATGATGTGTTGTCCACTGCTTGTGTTTCTAGCTTGGCAACATACATTGTTTCTTTACTGAGCTTTGTTACAACTCTTGCTCTCTTTTTCTCTCTGGTTTAATGGATGCCTCTAATTTCTTGGGTTTATATATTCTTTTCTTCTACAATTCAATAGCTTATGATCTTCTTTGCGGATACCCTTTTGATCTATTGGTTCTTTTATGGATCGGATTTCGGATTTGAGTATGGAATCTTTACTTTTGGACTTGGGACTTTACTGTTAGTGTTGGAGTGAAAACAGAGGAGATGTTGATGGTTTGCGTTAGCTTTATTAATGTCGGGTTTTTGTTTTTCAGCAGCTGCTAGCGTATCATAGCATTTAGCACTATCCAAATCGACTCATTAGACGAATCTTTTGTTTCTCATCTCTTTTTTCCGTAGAACATATGAATACGTGGTTTTTATTATTCTTGTATATGGAGTTTGATAGAGAATTAGAGATTATGTTTGCGTGTTTTTCTCCATAGATGGCGTGGGTGTGGCTGGAAGCGGCTCTGCCTCTAGGGATCATAGCTGGAATGCTTTGTGTCATGGGGAATTCGCAGTACTATATCCATAAAGCTTATCACGGCCGGGTATTCCCTCTTTGTTTTCTACTACTAGTCAGGTTTTGGTTTTTGGTTTGGTCTAAGTTGAATCATTGATGATGCAGCCGAAGCACATTGGTCACGACGAGTGGGACGTTGCCATGGAAAGACGCGACAAGAAGGTCATGGGCGACTCGTCCTGAATCCCGATCCCGTTCACAGGTTCCCCTCTCTTCTCCTTCCTTTGGTTTTTTTCCTCAACAACAACAACAACATGGTCTTATTCCCAAGTTTATTTGGGGTCGACCGCATGAATCCTTCGTTTCCACTCATTTCGATCACTTGTTAATTCTTTCGGAATCTGCAATACTTCCAAATCGTTTCTAATCACACGCTCCCAAGTAAGTCTAGGTCTACCTCTTCCTATCTTTTTCATCTCCATTTCTATACTTTCTATTCTTCTAACCGGTGCGTCTAACGGCCTCCGTTGTACATGTCCAAACCATCTTAAACGTCCCTCCCGTACCTTCTCTTCGATGCCTATTACTCCTATTTTCTTTCGAATACTCTCGTTTCTAATTCTATCTATCCTTGTGTGTCCGCACATCCATCTCAACATCCTCATCTCGGCCACATTCATTTTTGACATATGTTGCCCTTTCGCCGTCCAACATTCGCTGCCATACAACAATGCGGGTCTTATGGCGGTACGGTAGAATTTTCCTTTCAACCGTAAAGGAACCTTACGGTCACAAAGAACTCCTGTGGCTTGTCTCCATTTCATCCATCCCGCTTTTATTCTATGGCTAACATCCTCATCGCAACCTCCATCCTTTTGAAGGATTGACCCAAGATATTTAAAATGCGGGTTTTGAGGGATTGATCCTCCTTGTAGGGTCACTCCCACATCACTGGGCCGTTTGCCACTGAAGTCACAATGCATGTACTCAGTCTTCATCCTACTAATCCTAAAACCCTTAGTCTCTAGCGTACTCCTCCATAACTCTAGCAGTCCATTTACTCCTTCTCTGGACTCGTCTATTAGCACGATGTCATCCGCAAACATCATGCACCACGGTACCTCTTTCTGTATATCTCTAGTCAGTTCATCCATGACTAACGCAAAGAGGTATGGACTTAGAGCGGACCCTTGGTGTAACCCTATCGAGATGGGAAAATCTCGCGTGTCACCCCCTGTTGTTCGGACACGAGTAGTCGCACCATCATACATGTCCTTCAATACTTGTATGTATCTTACCGATATCCCCCTACGCTCTAAGACCCACCATAAAACCTCTCTTGGTACTCGATCGTAAGCTTTTTCGAGGTCGATAAATACCATGTGCAGGTCTTTCTTCATATCTCGAAACTTCTCCATCAAGTTCCGGATGAGAAAGATTGCTTCCATTGTAGATCTTCCGGGCATAAAACCAAATTGGTTTACGGAAATAGATGTGTCGCTACGTAAACGTCTCTCTACGATTCTTTCCCATAACTTCATCGTATGACTCATGAGTTTTTTTCCTCAACCAAAAGAAAATCGTTTTACTTGTTAGGACGGAAACAAACGATCTCTAGAAAATGAACTAGCCAACTCTCGAACCTATTAGAGAATATCAGTTTAGCATTTGGTTTAGTATCCGGTTTAGATATGAATATGAGTCTATATAAATACCATGTATGCATATTTTGAATCAATAACACTTAAAATCTTTCTCAATCTTTTTCCATTCTCGAATTCTCTCTGGAATTTAATAGAATCTAGCAAGAAATGGGACAAGGAAAAGGAAAAGCATTTGAGTGATAACATAACACTAGGGTTGAATTTTATGTTGGGTGGAATTATGTGATCATAACCTATACATCGTCGCCTCCCTAGCTAGGGGTTGGCATGGGCGGGTACCCGCACTTTTGTGGTACACTGTATCGACCTCGTCCTCGCTGGTTTTCTGAGGGTATTGTCTCGATCTCTATCTCGAGACCATGGTAACCGCGGATGAAGTCAGGTATCTAGGACAAACGTGCGAAAATTTCTAAAATTCCATCCCTTATGTAGGAGTGGCCAATTTGGTTAACAACCGAATAGTCGTATTGAACGGAATAAGGCATAACTTCAATCTAACTGAATCTGACATAAAAACCGAATTGAATCAAATAAAAAAATAATCGAAAAAATCGATTTTTCAAAAAAAAATTAGTAATTTTACCAATAAAATCTGAATTCACTTATTCGAAGTGAATTCAGTAGAAAAACTGAATGGTTATAGTTTTTCTATAATCGAAATAATCGAACTCGAATATATCGAACCGAAACACAAAATGTTCACCCTTAGCCTAGTGTTGACTTTATAGGTGTATTTTATAATTTTATATGAAATAGGTCTAGAGATTATTGTAAATACATTAAATTGCAAACACATTAAAATATTAGAGAGATAAAAGGTACTTTTACTGTTAGCGGTACATGTGAGATAACCCCTTCTGGTTTGGAAGGACCCGAACCCGCACCCGCAGTTAGTATTTCTGGCTTCGTTGCATCCGTTTTCGTGGCTGCGTTGCATCCGTTTTCGATCTCGGGTTTGCCGAAGTACCTGTGAGATCGGATATCAGAAAACCTGTCAATCTCTGGTTTTTCTCGGGTAAAACCAGCCCACCCCTATACCTAAGCCTTGGAGAATGCTTGGAAACTGCAATTGTGACCTCACTTAAGAGCCGACCAAATGTCTATGGCTATCAATTTTGATATTTGATTGATGGTTTTAAGGTGAAGCTTAGTGAACTATAACCTGATGCTGTATTGCAGTGGGGGCTTAAGGTTGAAAATTTGAAGAAGAAGAAGAAGAAGCTGTAATAATAATAGACGGATCCTTTCTCTGTTTTTTTTCCTTTGACGTTTGTCGACTCGTGTACTTGCTATCAAAATAAAATAAATTTTTTGATAATTATATAAAAATGACATCACAAAAAATGATATTGTAAAATCTTAGAATGTTGTGTATTGAATTTGCGAATCGAATTAGAGGATGGGTATTTTTGGTGAATCATTTTATTTTACATTGATAGAGGTTCAATTTTTTTCAAGGGAAATTTCTATAAATACCCTAATATGACGGTGTTTCCAATAGATACGTGTTTAACATAAAATGATCGAATTAGAATATTTATCTGTCAATTTTGAAATTGAAATATTTATACGCCAAATCATTGCGGTATTTTTTTTTTTTTTACAGAATTTTCAACGATAAAAACGATTTTGGTGTGAGAGTTCTAGAAGATGACACGTATATGATGTGGTAATGGTGACGCTTCCGTGAGGTGACACTAATGTCATTGCATGGATCCTTTTGTGGGAAAACCACGTGTCAATATTTTTAGTTTTGATTTGATTTTTTTAGTATTTTAGAGAGAGAGAAAAAATTATATTTTTTAGTTTATATATTTAATTTTGATTGGACTAAATTGTATACAGAATTGATTTCATTTATAAATAATATTCATGTTTTAAAAAGATTTTCAGATATATATATATATATATATTTGAATTAAATTTATTTTTTAAAAATAATATTGCATTGAAGTTTAGATTATATTTTAAAAAATATAATCTTATATTATTCGGTTCACTAGTTTTTTAATCTAAAATTTTTAAGAACCGCGAAAACATCACATTATTATTATTATTATTATTATTATTATTATTATTATTATTATTATTTGTTGAAAACGAAAGACGAAAAACAAGAGAGATGTTCTAGAGAGAGAAAGAGTATGATAGAGAGAAGAGAGAGAAAGTTCTTCGTATTTCGTATGTTACAAATGAACTACATCACTGATCTATTTATAGAGAAATATAAGAAACTTCTTCATAGTGAATAAATGTCAGCTTCTTCATAGTGAAGAAGAGTCAGCTTCGTGAAGAAGGGTCAGCTTCTTCATAGTGAATAAGAGCATAATATGGGTTTCACTAGATAATATGGATCTCACTAGATGTCTACTTGTATATTTACAACACTCCCCCTTAGACATCTAGTATGGACTGCCTTGTTAAAAACCTTATCATGGAAAAACCCTGTGGGATAAAAACCATGACGAGGAAAAAAGAGTACAGTCTTACAATTTTTCCCTTGAACCAATATGCATACGTTTCTTCATAAATTTCGAAGACGACGCATTCCAATATTCTGAATATGCTTCTTGAATGTTGAAGTAGGGAGTGTCTTTGTGAATAAGTTAGCTACGTTGTCACTTGATCGGATATAACGGATATCAATTTCCTTGTTCTTTTCGAGCTCTTGAGTGTAAGAGAAGTACTTCGGAGGAATATGCTTCGTTCGATCATTCTTTATGTATCCTTCTTTGGTTTGAGCAACACATGCGACATTATCTTCGAATAATATCGTTGGATCGATATTAATCGGTAATCCACACGCTTCTAGTATATGGCGGGTTACAGCCCTGAGCCACACACATTCTCTACTTGCTTCATGCAATGACTTCAGCGTGATTCGAAGATGTTGCAACCAATGTTTGTTTCTGAGAACGTCAGGATATTGCGGTACCTCCAATTGTGAAAACATATCCAGTATGTGATCGGACTTTATGAGGGTCGGATAAATAACCTGCATCTACAAAACCGATTAACTCAAGTTTCGAATTCTTAGGATAAAATAATCCCAAATCAATCGTTCCTTGTAAATAACGAAAGATATGTTTGATCCATGTCCAATGTCGTCTTGTTGGAGACGAACTATATATCGCTAAAAGATTAGTAGCAAACGTTATATCTGGTCGAGTACAGTTAGCAAGATATAACAATGCCCCTATCGCGCTCATATAAGGTACTTCAGGACCGAGTACCTCCTCGTTATCTTCGTAAGGGCGAAATGGATCTTTTTCAATATTTAGGGATCTACAAATCATTGGGGTGCTCAACGGATTTGATTTATCCATGTTAAAACGCCTCAGAATTTTCTTGGTATAGTTGGACTGATGAACAAGTATTCCGCTAGGAAGATGATCTATTTGTAGTACAAGACAAAACTTTGTTCGTCCCAAATCTTTCATCTCAAATTCTCCTTTGAGATAACTTCGAGCGTTTTCAATTTCCGTTGGAGTCCCAATTATGTTTAGATCATCCACATACACCGTTATAATCGCAAAGCCGCTAGATGTTTTCTGGATGAATACGCATGGGCAAATGGGGTTATTAACGTATCCCTTTTTCAGCAGACATTCACTTAAGCGATTATACCACATACGTCCAGATTGTTTTAATCCGTATAAGGATCGTTGTAATTTGATCGCATATGTTTCCTTGGATTTTGAGTTTAATGCCCCCGACATTCTCAATCCTTCGGGAATTTTCATGTATATGTCATTTTCTAATGACCCATATAAATATGTTGTGACAACATCCATGAGATACATTTCCAAATTCTTGGAAGTTGTCAAACTTATCAAATATCTAAACGTAATCGCATCCATGACCGGAGAATACGTTTCCTCATAATCTATCCCAGGTCTTTGAGAAAAACCTTGTGCGACAAGACGTGCTTTATATCTCATAATTTCATTATTTTCATTTCTCTTTCGCACAAAAACTCATCTGCATCCAACTGGTTTTACACCATCAGGGGTTTGGATAATGGACCCAAATACTTTTCTTTTATTTAATGAGTCTAATTCTACTTCCATAGCTTCTTTCCATTTTATCCAATCATGTCTCCTTTGACATTCAGATACCGACTTCGGTTCTGGATCTTCACTATCATTTTCGATTTCCTTAGATATAGAGAAAGAGAATATTCCATCACTGTCGTCTATCTCATTTCTTACCAACATCTTTCCATTACGGATGTAGTTGATGGAAATCTCATTGTCTTCTGTATTCTGAAGATCATTTTGATATTCAATATATTTTCCCTTATTCGGTTCTTTTGGATCAATCTGAGGACTATCATTAGTCTCAGTTTTCTTTCTTTTTCGTGGATTTCTGTGGTCTTCCACGTTTCAACTGTGGCATAGACTCATTTGAAATTCTTTTCTCCCCTTGATCCTTTGGTATTTCTATCCGGGCGGGTATATTCACGGCTGGTATATATGATTTTATCACCCGTATTGTATCTGTGAATCCATCTGGCAATCGATTTGCTACATTTTGCAAATGTATGATCTTTTTGTACTTCAAGATCACATTGTTTTGTAGGAGGATCAAGATATAATAATGATTCTGTTTTCCACGTTAAATCTTGTGAGGCTTGTATCATTCCTCCCCCTAACGTCGGGAATTCATCCTCACGAAAATGACAATCAGCAAAACGAGCTGTAAACATATCACCCGTTTGTGGTTCAAGATATCGAATGATTGAGGGTGAATTATATCCAATGTAAATACCCAATCGTCGTTGTGGGCCCATTTTTATACGTTGTGGCGGAGCTATTGGTACATATACCGCACAACCAAATATTCTAAGATGAGATATATTTGGTTTATTTCCAGTTGCCAATTGCACTGGAGAATATTTATGATATGCACTCGGTCGAATTTGAATCAGTGCTCCAACATGTAAAATAACATGCCCCCAAACAGAAATCGGAAGTTTTGTTTTCATCATCAATGGTCGAGCAATAAGCTGGAGTCGTTTAATTAATGACTCGGCCATACCATTTTGTGTATGGACATGGGGAGCATGATGTTCAATCTCAATTCCGAGTGACATACAATAGTCATTGAAAGCTTGAGAAGTGAATTCACCGGCGTTATCAAGCCTCACTTTCTTAACAGGATAATCAGGGAATTAAGCTCGTAGTTTGGTAATTTGAGCAAGAAACCTCGCGAATACAACATTGCGGGTTGATAATAGACAAACATGTGACCATCTGCTTGATGCATCTATCAATACCATAAAGTATCGAAATGGTCCACTCGGTGGATGTATTGGTCCACAAATATCCCCATGTATTCGTTCTAAAAATGATGACAATTCATTTCCGATCTTGACCGATGATGGTCGTATTATCAATTTTCCTTGAGAACATGCGGTACATGTGAGTTCATGGGATTGAAAAATCTTTCCATTTTTCAACGGATGCCCATTAGAACTTTCCACAATTCTCCGCATCATTATTGAACCGGGATGACCCAATCGGTCATGCCAAATCTCGAACACCTCTCCAAACCGTGGATTCATTTTAGAATATGATTTAATCATATATATTTTTGTGAAGTATAATCCAGAGGATAATGATGGTAACTTTTCCATCATATGCTTCTTTCAAGCAATCATTGACGTGATACAAAGGTATTCACGATTTTATTCGCTTATAGTCTCGATATGAAAATTATTTTGGCGAATATCTTTGAAACTCAATAAGTTTCTTTGAGACTTGGAGTGAATAATGCGTTATTGATCATAATCTTTGTGCCTCTAGGCATCATAAAACTTGATCTTCCTGAGCCCATGATCATTCTCGCATTTCCAGATATTGTGTTAACACTGGATTCAGTAATATTCAACTCAGAGAAGTATTTCTCATCTTTAAATATCGTATGAGTCGTAGCACTATCGGCTAGACATATATCCCCATCACTGATCTTGAATTTCAACATATCTCAAGTCGAATTGATCAATGTGAAAGATACGAAATATTCCTGAAAACAAAGATAAAGATGAAATAATACATAACACAGAAACTGAACGTTAGAGTATAAAACACACTTGGAAATAAAATACACAATGCAACATTCATAATAAACTTCATGTCGATTTTCTCTAGTTGGTCATTTTTCCATCTTCAAGCTGATCAAGGAAATTCGCGATATACAAATATGTTCCATCTCTTTCTTTATTGATGAAATCATCAGGGACACCAGATACAAAAATTTGTCTGGGTATTTCTTCCTTTATCTTTGCGTGATTGTTGATATCATTTAACAAGATGTTTCGGTATACGACGGGTCTGTGACCAATGATCGTTCATACCACATCGATAACAGATATTATCTCAAACATTGCGGAATCATATTCTCGCACAGACTTAAAGTCTTAGAATCTCAGATCCAGCCAATCATGTTTGGCTCTCGGATGGATCACATATTTCTCATGATCGAAATGATCTTTGAGTGATTCCCATAAATCTCGGGATTCTCTTTCGTGCGATATTCATCTTTTAGCGCATCATCAAGATGGCGTCGCAGAAATATTATCGCTTTTTCCTTATCAGTTTCAAATGTCGCTTGCCCTTTTTCGATTGTTTTGACAATCTTTTCGGCTTTCAGATGCATTTTGGCATCAAATGCTCAAATCATATAATTTTTGCCATAAGCATCGAGGGCAGCGATTTCGAGATTGATCAAATTCGACATATGTATCATATGTAATAACAATAGATATAATCATGAATATATTATTAGGCGGTAATACCGTCCATATTACATAAAATAAATAGTTAAGGTGGTATAATAAATAATGACAGAAATAATATTCATATTTAGGTGGCATAGCCAACCATTACGATAATAATAATAATATTTATAAATATTCATAAGAATATTTACAGGTGGCATAGCCAACCATTATGATAATAATAGCAATATTTATAAATATTCATAATAATATTTACAGGTGGCATAACCAACCATTATGATAATAGAAGTAATACTTATAGATATTCATAATAATATTTACAGGTGACATAACCAACCATTGTGATAATAACAACAATATTTATAAACATTCATATCATTGTCTGGTGGCTGAACCCGCGAAGTCTATATGAATGTAATATAAATATATGTGATTAGTTATATATTAGTGATCGGTGGTTGAGCCTCCCAAAGTCTATATATAATGAAATTGAAGATGAATAGAGATGGAGAATCATACATTACCTTTTGTATGATATTTCCTTTTTTACCTCTATATCGACAGAGTCTCGTGCTGATAACGTGTTGAAAACGAAAGATGAAAAACAAGAGAGAGATGCTCTAGAGAGAGAAAGAGTATGATAGAGAGAAGAGGGAGAAAGTTCTTCGTATTTCGTATGTTATAAATAAACTATATCACTGATCTATTTATAGAGAAATATAAGGAATTTCTTCATAGTGAAGAAAGATCAGCTTCTTTATAGTGAAGAAGAGTCAGCTTCGGGTCAGTTTCTTCATAATGAAGAATGGTCAGTTTCTTCGTAGTGAAGAATAGCATAATATGGGTTCCACTAGATAATATGTATCCCACTAGATGTCATATTTGTATATTTACAACATTATTATTATTATTATTATTATTACACACATAATATATCTATATATAGAGAAAGTCAAAGTAGTTCAGTGGGTTGGGTTTGACTGTTTGAAGCAGTCTTCGGTCACTGCTCTCTCTCCTACGAGCCGCCTCTCTCTATATATATATATATATTTGGGGTTCTAATTTACCTATTCGAATATATTAGTATATATAAAAACGATCTAAATATCTATCAAACATTAGTTTGAACGTTTACAAATACAATATCTAATAATGACGATGACATTCTCGAGCAGTATAAGGATATTTATAATTTAAATAAAATAAATACAAAACAAGTACATTATTTTTAATAAATAATTGGACCGTATTAAATAAAAAAATCGGGAATTCGGAAACTTTTTTTTATCGAATTAAATAAAGACAACACTCGGCTCTTAGAGAAAATTCGATAAAATTCGAATAAAAAACGAATTCTAAAATTTACGTAAATCAGATTGAACATAATATCACTATCAATATAAATAGATTTCAGTTTATAGATAAAAAAGAAAAATATTTTTTTCCAAAATGGAAAGTAAATCCAAAGATAATAAATTATGTTCAAACCTATTATTTCTTATGATTTTAAATTAATTATTTTCATATTCTAAATTATTAAATTCAGAAAAATAATATCATTCTGTCATTATTATTTGATGTAAATTTTATTCTGATTAGATCACTTCCATTAAAAATATTTTATTTTCTCTTTAACTTTGTTTTCATTTATTTTTATATTTAATTTAGATTTTTTACTTTTAAAAATTATGATCTAATTGATCATATATCATTGACTGATATGAGGATGGAAATATCACTTTAAATTATAAAAATAAACTACATTAATTGATCTTTATAATATTAAAATTATTATTCGATTACGTTATAAACATAAATAAATACATTGAAATCGTAGTTAGAAGTCATCCATCCAATTTTATAGAAAGGATAAGGATTCGATATTGCCGACATGTATGGCTTCGGTCACCACTTCCACGTGTGTAACCCAAGTCAAATAAAACGTGCACCTATTTATAACCTTCTCGTTATTATTTAAAAACAATCTCATCCAAAGATTTTAAATATTAAAAATTTTCAAATTAATATCTCAATTTATAAATTTAAAAACAATTTATAATTTCGATTAGTTTTTTATTTTGATCATTATTTTAAAATTAATATTATAAATTATCATCAATTTTATAAATTAAGATATTTATTCGAAAATTTCAATGTGTAAAATATTAATATAAAATATTTTAATATTTAAAATATTAATTAGATTAAATTAAAAAAATCAGGTATTTATTCTTAATTAAAGTATTTAATATATAATTTTTCTTATTATTTAATAAAACTATCTAATAAAAATATTCTTTATTGTACATATTTTTTGTTCCACTCAAAAATAAAAAGCTACCCAAAATTAAATAAAAAATAATAAAAACAAATTCGCGGATCCTCTCACCCTTCTTCACACTTTCCCCACCCTTTCTCACGTAACTTCCTCTGCACACTCCACCTGCTACATATACACACACATATATTATATATATACGTATCTCCTTCATCTTCGACCTCCATAGCTCTGATTTTCGATTCCTTATTCTTTCAGATCTGCAGATTTTCCCGGAAATTACCAAGAAAATGGCTCTCGAAGCTCTGAATTCCCCGAGATTAGCCTCTCCGGTTCTTTCTCTGTTCGACGATTCCGCAAGCTTCAATGGCGCCAAACGCAAACGCTCCAAACGCAACCGCTCCGATAATCGTCTCACCGAGGAAGAGTACCTCGCCTTCTGCCTCATGCTCCTCGCCCGCGACGGCCATCGCAAACGCCAATCGCCACAACCTCCAGCGTCTGCGTTCCCGGCTCCGGAGAAGCTGGTCTACAAGTGCAGCGTCTGCGACAAGGCGTTCCCGTCTTACCAGGCCCTCGGCGGACACAAGGCCAGCCACCGGAAAACCGCGTCTCCGATCGCCGGAGACGAACAGTCCACGTCAACATCAACGTCAACGACCACAAACGCAAACGCGGGTGGAGGCAGAACGCACGTTTGCTCCGTTTGCAACAAGTCTTTCCCCACCGGTCAGGCACTCGGCGGCCACAAACGCTGCCACTACGAAGGCGGCAACAACGGCGGGTCCAGTGGCGGTGGTGACGTGTCGACGTCGGAGGGAGCGGGGTCCACCGGCCACGTCAGTAACCACCGTGGATTCGACCTGAACATACCGGCCATACCGGAATTCTCGCCGGAGGGTTTGGTCAACGGCGACGACGAAGCGGTGAGTCCGATGCCGGCGACGGCGAAGAAGCGACGCCTGGTGTTCTCCATCAAGGTTGAAAATTGCTCCTTGGAAGAAAAAAATTAGACGAATTTAGATTTTTTTTTTTTTTGCATTGTGTAATTCAACTTGGGTTTCTGGGAATTTTTTTAGTGTAAATATATACGAATTGAAATTCGTTATATCCATTTCTTTGTGTTCTTTGATTTCTGTACCAAATAAAATTCTCATAATACACAGAATTTGACTTTTGTAGATTTTGGTTTGGTTTGGAAAATTAGATCTAGCTAGATTTTAGAAAAAAATTTCATAAGGCCAAATAAAAAAATTTTTTAAAAATTGATAAAAAAAACCCCCAAAAAAATATAGAACTTTACAAAAAATACTAAATTTTTATTTTGTCAAATAAATATTAAATTTTTTAAACTTGTCAAAAAAACATTTAATTCTTCTACGATTGTTAAAATAAACAAATGAACTGATGTGTTATAAGGAGATGTAAATACGTCAAATTATTGTCGTTTATTTTTTTTATAATTGTATCTAGTTCATGTATTTTTTTGAATCATTTAAAAGGTTTAGTATTTTTTGATAATCGCATAAAAGTTTATGTATTTTTTTAGATCATTTAAAAAGTTTAGTATTTTTTTAAATGAGTTATTTTTTTAAACTCATTTAAAAAGTTTAATATTTATTTGACTAAAACAAAAGTTCGATATTTTTTCTGTCAAAATTGTGAATTTCATTGGTTTTTTTGGGATTCTTCCGTAAATAAATACCTGATCAATTTGTGTAACAACCCAGTTTTCAAAAAAAAATAAAAAAAAATAAAAAAAAAAAAAAAAAAAAAAAAAAAACTAAGAACGTCCGTTCTGGACGACCCAGAACGGACGGACCGCTCACACAGACCAGACCGTCCGTTCCAGACCGTAGAACGGACGGACCGGAGTGTCGGCAGCGACTAAAACGACGACTTTTGTCCGGACCGACTTGAAAACGACGTTTACCCACCAATCTTCGACAATAATCCCGATTTTTCAACCCTAGTGCCCTATGGCTCAATCATTATCCGTCTGGGTCCGAAATTTCCGTCACAAATCATCCAAATCCGAGTTTCAATCGCCCATTTTCTCTCCCTCTCATGTTCTTCATTTCCGAGCGAAAATTCTCTCTCAAATCCGAACAATTGACGCTCAAATCGGTTCCTACAGAGCAAGAGAAACATCACCAAGCTTTCCATTCAACACCCATAGCACGGGCTTAACCGAGGTGAGTGAATTCGAGTTTAATTCGGAGGTCTATTAGACATGGGGTTTTGGGTTTTGGGTGATTTCGTGTAAAATTGATGATTGATTTGTGTTCTACTTGCAATTCTATGAGTTTTAGTGTATACCCATAGTGAATCGTGCGTGTTGGTGTGTTTTGGTGAGAATCCGAGGACCAGAACGTCCGGTCTGAGGTCAGACCGTCCGTTCTAGGTCCGCAGAAGAAAACGCGAAGTCTGGAGGTTGAAGACGACTCCAGACCGTCCGTTCTGGACGACCGGAACGTCCGTTCCGCATTTCCAGACCGTCCGGTCTGACGAGACGGAACGTCCGTTCTGAACCGATCGGTCTAGGACTAGACCGATCGGTCCAAAAAAAAAAAAAAAGTAACGCGGGACCAGCTAGGTCATACCGGAGGTACAATTCAGTAAAATCGATGAAGAGAATGAAAGAAAATATATAAAGAAATATAAAAGACTACATAAGCGGAAATGCATGTATAGTAAATAAACTATATAAATGCATGTGGTTGGGGTAGCTGGCATGGCACTAGCGTTAATTCGGAAGGGTTCGGATTAACGTTTAGCGCGTGATTGTATTAACGGACGCTTGTGAATGATTATACGATGGTTGCGAGATTGCGTCCCATCTACGGGCCATCCGATCCGGGTCGGATGCCACCCGTATGGGATATGATTGTGAATGTGGCGATGATATAATCGCGCCAACGTCCGAATGACAGGACGGTTATGGGCATCCCGATGACTTGCGTGGATAGCCGATTGGGGTCGGTACTATTGCGTGACGAGAAACACACGGTTTTTAGAACCGCGCCAACGTATCCGTTAGCGACGGAGCGGATTCCGGGAGATGAGTCTCCCGAGGATGAGGCAATACATATACCTGAGATTCGGGTGGATTGTGGTCCCCCGAGGAGGTGGTACGGACTTACTCTGCCAGGTTCGGGCCCGAACCTGACAAGTATTTCCGCGGCGGATGGTCGGCGAGGGAGAGTTGCAGCGA